CTGATTCGTTTGCATAGACGTGACATCGTGACCAATTCGTGACACGGGGATCCGGTCCGACTCAACCGGAAGTTCGATCGACGCTTGCGTCTGATTCCGGAATCCACTTTTCGCCATTATTGCACCTTCGCCGTTTTCTTTGGGTTGTAGACGATAGAAACGCAGACTACTTAGAGGGGGGCTTCCTACTTCTCAATGTGGCACTATGCTAGTCTGAGGAACTGTGGCTGGCCGTCATGGTAGTCGCAAAACTCGCGTCTCTATGGACTTCCGACATGTCGGGAAACGCCTTACCTCGCTGGCGAACACTGAGGTCGGACTTTCAAACATTGTACGGCCTTCCGTCGTCAAATTGTTTTACTCTGTATTTCCACAAGTTTCGACCTGTTTCCTGTCTGCCAGCCTTTGGTAGACATCTACCTGTTTCGCTGTTTAGATCTATCAAACAAAGTGGTTTGGGCTCGAATCCGACATACCGCAAACTATTCTTCACTGATCATCATCACTACGAACAAGTCAACACGTTCAATATGTCACTATCGTAGCAGCTTTCATGGAGCTTTCATTTCGCATAAGTGCATGTCTGACAGATGATGCTTGTCGTCATGCCATATAATCTTTCTGTCCATCCAACTCGGCACTTGGACTTGATCCATCAATTCTCTCAGTCCGACACCAGTGGATCCCCCTTTTGGCCACGGAACACGTCTCCATGATACCCATTTGCCGTCGCGGCCTCGGGCCGACCCTTCTCAACGTTTGACAGTGTCGTTAATTATACGCGATCGTGTTGCATGCTGCGAACCTGCATGCCGTCATACGTGATTATCTTCTGTCTCCGTATAGCAGTACAGGTCTTCCCGAGAGCAGGACCCTATGGTCTCAATGCGACTTCTCGTCCAGTGATTTTTGCTCTTCCCAGAGACTTCAGCATTCGACATCTCGAATTCATACATATCATCCAATAAAAACAACTGTCACACACTGTCAGAGACATCTCCGCTAGTCCCCTTCTAACCCTGGGCTCCCTATGTGATAAGAGCAACTCCTACGTCAACCTTTGCGTCGGCTATCATTGAGGTGAGATCGAGACACTATTTTGCCTGCCAGGGAGTCAGGGAGTTGACATTGGTCTACAGATAGGATCTCGTCCACTGAACATCTGACAGACAGCATAACGTTCGTTGCGTCAAGTTGCCGACGGTTGTCTCCACCGCTCACTGGGGTAAAATGCACGCTGGTGCCACGACGCGATACCCCCTCACGACCCGGTCCCGAATCCAGCTATCCTCTCATGCCGTATGAGCTCCGCAGCTATATCCACATCCGCCACGCGTCGAAAATCCCGGATCTGAAGTCACGCTGTCTGGCTATCGGTTTTCCCAGGTCCAGACCTTGCCTGCTACTGGCCCTCCTGATTAACATGCCTTCAGATCCCCAGGCTCGCATCTTCTCTACGAGATATGCACCCACGCATCCCACTTTCAACCGTTGGATCTTCCCTCGAATAGTCATCCTAGCTGCGCGATCAACGGAATGTATTCCCTTAAGCTACGCGAGGCTATGTCTCAACTCCCCACCCTCAAATTCAAAAAAGGGCTGTTAATGGACAGTCAAACCTCGGACTGCATTGCATCCGTTTGTTCCATGAAATTTGCCATTCTTCTAGATTTTTGATTTTTCGAAACTGTCAGTCAAACCTCGGGCAGCATATTACTAGTAAAGACGGGATTCTTCCAAGCGTTGTAGCCTCGTGGACCATGAGTTGCGAAGGCCAGATGGATCCGGGGATAGAAGAAGGCATTCGTTCATTGTATACAGTACTCCCTGGATTGTCGGCGAATTGGCGGGAGCGGTGAGAGTGGGAACGGTAATACCGGAGTTGGGGAAGCGGAGAAGAGGGGAACTTGACTTGAACAGAATCCGTCAAACCTGGACATTAGCGAACCCGGTAACTCATGGCATTGTGGCGGGCGGATCGCTTAAGGAATTCGGTCATCGGAAGAAGACCTCTTCGCCTCATGGCGCGGCATTATATGTTTCTTGCTTAACACGACGATGCATTGAGGCTTTAGAATAAAAATGGCCCTCAAAGTAATAATGGAACTAAACTAGCATATACTGCGTGATCTGGTGGATCGAATCGGATCGACGCAAACCTGTCACAGAAAAAACGTGCTCAAAGAGGTATGATATGCATCTCATAGCCAAGCGTCCAGTCTTATCGGTTTACGAGTCCGCCAACAGAGACCGACCGCCGGAAGCATTGAATTGATATTTACACCGTCTCAAGATCTTCTATACGCGGGTCTTTCCGGTTACTTTGTCCGCAAACTTGACCACAATTGGCGCGACCGAAAAGGGTTTCGATCATGATCTTGCGTCCAACGATCAAATGACAGTGGCATCTGATGGATAGACCGAGTCCCTGGCGTCTTCTCGACAGTCGGATGAATGAATGCGTTAAATATATGATATGGCGTGGGTATACAAATACTATAGCTACGAGCGGTGCGACAAATGGGGGAGCGATATGGATAGCAAGTCGTATTACTAGTGATAACGGTAGGTATTAGCAAGTTGGGACAGCAAGTAGATAGAAATAGCTGGGCGTCATCACAAGGTGTGTGTCATATCGGGCATGAAATACATGAATGAAGGGAGGCTCACTCGTAATGGAACCAATCCATTAAAAAAGAGAAGAATAAAGATCAGAGTGGTCGTATTCGAGCATTGACAAAAACGCCGATATTAATGGCCCACGATGATGATGAAAGTAAAACACATCAATTCCGTACAATGACCCGTCTAGTGTGTTTCCCTGCTCGCCGTCGCTCAGCGTAAGGCATTGGTCGTTTCCACGACTCGTCGGGATCTCCACCTTCATCCGGAAACTCGACCTTTGTCTGGGCGCCGGGAGGGGTGGGATCAGGGTGATGTGTCTTCGGGGTGGAAGACGGATGTGGGAACAGGGGTGAGGGAGTTACGGGCACCGGGCCGCTACGCTGGGATGATCTGGAAGGGGGATATGCAGCTGATGATGAGGGTGAATGATTTGGATGAGGTGGAGCGCCTGCGACCCCCAGGGAGGGCGACTGCCCTGAAGGCGGCCAAGACCTGGGGCCACCTGGGTCTCGCACCGCTGTGCGAGATTTGTCGTCGCGCATGCCTGCTGCGTGAGAGGGAATATCGACCTCTACATGCACACGGACGATTTCTGCCCCTGCTTGGGCGAAAAAGGCCCGCTCCTGCCGCTGAAAGTAGCCGCTGGTGGGCTCCGTACGATGCGGAATCACTGAGGGCGGTGCAGGAGGGAACAGTGCCATTAAATCATGACCTGTAGGTGGAGCAGGATATTTACGGGAATTCACGTCTGGATGGTGAGTCAGATCTACATCTACAAAGAAATAATCATCAGTACGCCCCCTTGATATAAATCAGATGAAAAACATACCGCGTAATGAGGAGGGAGAAAGAGGACGACGCGATCGACTAGAAACGGAAGCTGATGTTGGCGGCGACGGAAGCAAAAGACCAGAGCGAATCGAGCGCGAGGACTCGGCAGTAGGAGAAGTAGATGCAGACGATGCAGGTGAATCATCAACAGGACGAAGGTGGTAGGAGGCGGACATGGTGGAGCGAGGCAAGGGCGAGAAGGAGCACAGCTGGTCGAATACTTATAAGGGACTGGCAATGATGATCGCAAGGAAGAAGCGGGTATCCAAGATCCAATTGAGCATTCCTAATATGAAAAAGAAATTACCTAAGCCGCTACTCAGGTTCAGCCCTGCTGAGAGCTTCCGCTTCGGCTACGGTTGATGCTGCCAAGTTTCCCCACAGGCATCGGATTGAATCAAGGAATCGGCCCTTGCCAATCATCAGCTACAGAAGGTCTTGTGCTACGTATCCAGGGATGTCGTAAGCTCATTATGTTACCCCTGCTGTAACGCCAAAATTGTCATCGAATCCATATGCCCGTTCGTCTTCGGCTCCTCCGATTGTACTGAGATCTTCTTGCTTCTCTTCCTACGGCTATTACATCTCACCGGCCTTTCATCGTGTGATACCCGGCCGTTATATCTCCTGGCCTGATGAGGGCTGACTCTGATACATGGGGGGGATTGCTCATCAGCTCCATCGCGAGGGGTAAAAATACCTTCAAGTTCCGTCCATCTCCGGCGGTAAACTTGAACGTTGGTAGCCCAATGGAACTGAACTTGTCTGCTTTGCGGGGAATTTAAAGCCTCCGTGCAAGGTCTTTACGAGAAGGTTCCCAATAGACTAAGCCAGAAGCTCGATCCTCACATACAACACGAGTTCAAGATATAATGCGCTTCTGCTCATCATGAACCATCGAAGAGCTGGCCAGGTGGACCCCCTTGTGACAGCTGATCCAAGATTCACCGTACCCTAGAATATTCGTCAGCCAGCATGTCCTGATATATATCCACACAGGTCTGGATGGAAATCCCGTTGACTAGAGAGGCTTTGGTGGCGCCGATATCACTGGAGCAGGGGTTCTGCAATTCAGGACAGATCTAGACGATGCGGCGTTTCATTTGTATGTTTTGCGCTGAATTGGTGGATCACTTTTGTATATCCGCCAGGAGGTCCGTTTTTCACCAAGGCCCAAGGGAAGAGGAAGTCTGGAGCGATCTGATCTTTTAAAACCTGGTATCCGATATAGACGGCATGCGGCCAAGCTGGACGTTAGATTCCCGCAAGTAGTAATGATCTTGAGTGTCGTGTATCTAGTCTGTTCCTGTACAGCGCATTAATGGATGGCGCTGGCATGATCAACAGTTCACTCATCGTCTCCGAGATCTACGCGAGGGGAATAAAAGGAAAATACCAAATTTGACACCATGTCAAATCGATGACTCGGAAGAGAGTCATAGTCAATTTGTCAAAAGGTCTTCAAGGTACCGGATGACGGGCCCATATCTATACTCCAAACCTTGAGTAGGTGATTTTCATAGAAGAAATTGATGTCTTAGCAAGCCGTCGTGGCGTAATGGTAGCGCGTCGCTTTCCTACAATTCTATTACGTAGGCGAAGGTTGTGAGTTCGAGCCTCACCGTCGGTATTGGATACTGTTTTTTTTTTCCTCCGCTGACAACTGGACGTACGTCGAACATTGTTTAATGAGCTTTGCTCGGGAAGCTGCGCGCGGAAGTGTTGGGTAATGAATGTCAACCGTTGGCAACCAAGTATAGTGGTGATTTACCGACCACGTTCTTCGAGAGACGCATAAGAAAGACTGTAAACCGGTTCTTCTTCTGGATTTGTCTTTCTATGTTATCTGTTTAAGACATCAAACTAAGCTTTGAGTTTTCAGGCCGATATTTATCAACTTCTATAAACCCGATCCTCTCAGTTTCCGTTCAAGGAGAATTGAACCCCTAAGTATCGGCGAAACCTGCAAAACCTGTCCCGGAACAACTACCGAAGTATGGACGCAAGAACGCAACAGCGATTCATATTTGGTTTTCTCAGAAGTTCTGGATGTTGACAATCAGAACACGGACCGACAGCGACTCGCGCACGAAGGATGATGAAGAACGCAAGGAAGTCTACCTTGGTGTCAAGCTACATGCGGATGGCATCTATTCTGCAGGCGTAATGGGTAACAGCCAGTGAAGAAGTGATGATTGTTGCCGAAGAAAAATTCTCCCAGTGCATATGTGATGTCCAAGAGGTTTAATGTTGGATACCAATATAATATATTAAGGGCGTCATTGAGTACCCTGGTCGTCCCAGCACTACGCGATACACGCGAGGCAAACACCTGTTTGCTCGATAGTACATCGTCGCATCAAATCAGCCGTGCCGTATCCCACCACTCAACACGAAGTATTATCGATCGGTTGAAGTCTTTCTCTCTTCAGCCCAATCAGCGAGCGATTCCCATGTCGTTACACGTGAAAGGTGGAGTAGGTTTGCATGACGCTTATCAGGAACAGACCGAACGGTAAGCCGACATGGTGCCACTGCCAGGAGAGTACCTAGGGAACATCCCACGAACTCTCACGTCGGATAAGGTATAGCCATAAAGAATTCCCCCACCGCACTGGACATTGCCGAGGTCAACAGGAACCTGGCGTGAACGGTAAGTAAACGCACCTACTGCGGGAATCCCATAGGGCAATCCGAAACTCTATGTGAACAACAGAAGTACCCGCCATATGCGCGCCGAGGGGCAAAAGTTCGTAAATGGGGACAAGAGGCTGAAGCAAAGCCTTTTAACCAGGCTGGACCACAGAAGATCCCGCGCGATTTGAGGAAGAGGGCCGAAAATGGAGGATTCATATTGTGCCTTTTCCTTTACAGGAATTGACATGATATGGGTCCGTGGGAGGGAGGAGAAGAGAGCTCATGTCCGTGACACTGGCATCGGCCGTCGGAAATGAATGGCCCTGCAAAAAAAGGTTCTCAAGTGAGAGAGACAAGAGACATATCAGAAGGGTTTGTCCAAATTTTTGGTTTTGTGACACACCAGAATCCGTTTCTCCTTCGTCGTCATCACCCTCGAAGGCTCTCGGAGTTGAAAAGGAACAGACAGGGAACAAAGTCCAGGCGTCGAGAATGCCGTGAGCTACTAGTGGACGGATGTGGTAGGCAACAGGTGCGGATACAATTGAAGGGCGATGACGAGGGGAAGAGTTACCGAAGCTCCAGTTCGCAGCTGTGCCCTTAGTCAGGGTCGTTCATATTCGGAGCCTTAGATAATTGGAATTGAAGAGGTCCTTGCGTCTACAATGATTGTTTGAGAGGGTTGGAATTAAGCATGTTGGGAGTACAACAGCAAATTAAAACAAAACCGCTCCAATGCAAGGAAATCACTGGATTAGTATAACAACAGTTGGGTACTGGTGAGTATGAGTACAATATTGACTTTGATAAATCTATAGTCACAGTAAATGATGATAAGTTACGGATAGTTCGAGCTCCAATGTTCGCTTCCTCATCCGTCCGAAAGAAACCGAAAGAAGATTGGATTGAATCACAGCGGAGAGCGAGAACCTGGGATGTATTGTAGCCCCTCCACGATCGTCGGAGGTGCCTCCAGCGCCGGACTCGTATTCCCGCTCCCTGCAGTATAATACGACATCGTACTTGCTGTTGAGGGTTGGCTCCCGCCCGTGCTTGCACTGCCGCGTGTATCCACGTGGTCAGAAGGAAGCTCCCCGAGTTCTCCACATGCACTCATACGCACACTATTCGACCGGCTCGGAGGCTCACTCGACATCGGGAGCGTATTTCGCGTTGGCGGTCGACTAAGCGAAGCTATCCGCTCAACAGTGTATAGACTCGACGTCGTACCCATCTCACGCGAGCCGATACTCTCAATCGTAGGCATTCGGCGTACGTAGCCTCCCAGTACCCGAACATGATCATCCGGCGGATAGGGCCTTCCAAATTCGTCGTATCCAATAGCAGCAGAGTACGAGTACGAACTCGCCATGCTTTCGGAACGAGAACTCGAAGATCCGTCAGGACGTGCATATTCTAGACCTTCATCGGTCTCCCGGCTGATTTGGGATACGAGCGAACGGAATTGGTCGACAAAGTTGTACAGATCACGGTCACTGTCCAAAACCGCAGGAAGGGGAGAAGTCGGAGTTTGGGGGGTGGCACTTGAACTTGATGCACGAGATTTTTCGCCGCTAGGGATACATGTATGATGGGCATTGTGGGTTTCCGTGGAGGATGAGTCTTCTTCCGACGGAGGGGAATCAGAGACAGGAATGCTTCTTATCGAGGTATTTCGTGAGCTTCGCAAAGATTTCTGCATTCGCGGCGAGGATGTGATAGTAGAAGTAGAGCATAAGTGTGGATTGGAAGACTGAGCGGTGGGCGTGGTATGAAAGGAGGCAGCCATAAGGGGAGAGGAAGACATCGACTGATCGACTGATCCGGGGTTAGCGAGGCGGTGGCGGCGGCGCTTGCGTCTATGGGCTCCTTGGGAGGGGCGGCGAGTAACCTGATAAGCGGAAGAAGACAAGTTATAAGGAATCTGGACATAGTAATGATGAGTATGCGAATACGACGACTGTGAGAATGACTTGCAATGATAGCCAAAGTAATGAAGATGCGAAGGCATAGACAAGCCTAGCCAAGATGCCCAATTGTGTGCTCTACCCTGACACATCGTGCTCGACGATGACACGGCCCAAACTACGTCTAGGTCGAGCCCACATCGTTGTGACAGGTTAAGTTCAGGCTCTTCGGGAACACTTCGCCAAACGAATGTTAATGCGAACGCGACTATCGCAGGTCCCAACAAGAATATAGATGCGAGGAAGCGAAATATAGCTCGTGTGAGGAGAATTGAATGCAGATGAACGTGAGCGCGTATCAACTGGGTCTGGAAGAAAGACACGATGACACGGCATAATAAAAACGTTGCGGAGACAGCTGTACTGGTTCCTAGGGCGAGAGAAACGTCTTGACCGGTGATTGACTGGTAAACAGCAAATGCCAGAAAATATCGGACGGTGTTGTATATGGCCCAGGCACCTATAGAACGCGTTAGTGAGACGTCACAGGACGGCATTTGAGACCCACCCATGACCATTTCGAAGACCAAGACGGTTAGCTTTAGAACTTTTAAACGCCGGCGAACAGCCTTTTCCCAGTACCCCCCTACGTTCCCCCATCGTTGGCATATCGTCCAGGGACAACCCCATATCCCAACCTGGGCTCGGACCGCGAGGATGAGCTGGTTGCCGCTCGAGGAGGTCGAGATACGCTGAACCAGAGTACGATGGGTCGAGTAGTGGCTCTGTGGGATGAGAGTAGTCTGAAGCGATGGTCCTCAACGTCGCCGTCGAGATTGTACGCGAATGCGAGGGTGGCAATTCTACTGGTTCGGGAGAGAATATTGCATTATGAAGATATAATGCAGCCATTTACGTCGACTACAGACATTCAGAGCGTTCGAACGCTGGATTAACTAGAAGATGGTGGTTAGCGGACAGGACAACGCTGCAAAAAAATTGAAGATACCGGGGAATCAGTGATGCTTCTGAACCGCACAGTGGACTTGTAGAAGGTCTCGAGAGGTAGTCAGATTTGGATCAAATTCGGGTTAGATTTAGAATTTGGATGTTATGCGACGAAGAAGCGGCCGTGGCAACGATTGCTCTTGTTTGGTAGACGCGTTGTCACCTGACCTAACGCGATCGGGGGGAAATTCCGGTATTATCGGTTTCCGATGTTGACAATGACTCGAACGCGATCAGGTCTCACTAGCCTCCACTCAGCTCCTCTAATTGTCCTGTAATTTTGTGAGATAACCCTCGGTAAGGGGGCGGAACTGGAGACCCTCACGCTGCCACTGCGGTGGAGTTATGATCGGGAATAAAACCACATCTGCCTGATAAATCATTGCGGACAAGGCGATGAAAAGTACTCGTAAGTAACTTCTTGGCATTCAAAGGCTGTTCATCTACTTACGGCGCGTCTGCCTATGTGCGACCGTCGGAGCCCCGTCAACCCTAACGATTACTTGTCATCTTGAAGTTCGGGGACTATTGTCGAATATTGCGACTTGTACCGACTATACCAGGCGGAACGACGTAGTGGATGACGAGGATCGACTCTATTGTTGCACTGCCTTAGGCAAGACCATCGTACTCCTATCACGCGTGGAAATGATAAGAGATTGAAAGGGAAAAAGAAGAAAAGGCCTGAGACGTTGAGCTGGTAGTGGTCGTAACACAAGAGGTGTCCGGTCACTTTTGACACTAAAAATTGCCCCAACATAAGTCCAGGGCGTTCTAAAAGCGGCAGAGGGCGCGTCCGCGACGATAACACGGCTCTGTCAGTAATAAAAGGGGGAAGTGGAATGGGGTTTCGTGAATTTGCTTTGATCTGACACTGACAGAAGTCATCTTGACCAGAAAGGGTAATGGCCGCCCGCATATTTATAGACGATATGCAATGTTTAAGGCGGATGAAAGGGTACCGGTCTTCTTCTGAGATCGCAGTCACGCGTGGATAAATAACTGGAAAGCATTGACCCGCTGACGCACTAGTTTTTTCTCCTGGAAAGGAAGGAGGGCAAACCAGGTTTCATTCCTA